TCAAGCTCGGAGCTCACATTAATCTGCTGTTGTTTATTTTTCTTTTTTTTTTATCTAAATGAACAACCTGATAAAAACTTATTTGTTTTTATGCGTATTTGCATCTTATGCAAATGCAAAAATGCATAATGTCGCGAGTGTGTGTATGTGCTCAGAAGTAGGTGAACTTTGTTGCCCAATTTCAGCTCAGCAACGGGGAGAGCCATGATGCGACACTACATTCCACCGAAGAGCTTTTCTCCGCATGCAAGAAAAGACCAAAACACAGGCAAATGAGTTGCACGTGTCAAACGGTAAAGCAAGACCATACTGACTGCATCAAGTTTAGCGCAAAAACGCACGATCGCACGGGTAAGCCTGGTGCGTTGCTACCTGAGTTTTATTAAAAGGTGGCACGCGAGCTTAAGTATGTAAATCAGGCTCGCGCGTCGCCAAGGAATACCCACGCCTGGCGTAACGTGTCGGAAATGATATGTCTTTCACTTGCCTAGTATGCACTTACCATTATCACCGACGCCTGTAAAGCATCTAGTACAAAGTAACTAATTTTTTTTATAAGAAAGAACACTAACTTCAATTTCACTGCATTAATCGGTCTCTTCTAATGGGACAAACGGTGTTTGCCCATTATCATCTTTGTCACTTTTTCCAGACAGACGCTGCTCCTTTCTGTAGCCGCGACATGGTCGCCTTTTTTTCCTTGCAAAAAATATACGGTCCTGGTCCTAAAATGAAAAAACAACAGTCATGAAACGAAACGCATGTACTGCCAGTGCTGATGTTTAATTATTGTAAAAAATTTGTAAAAATTCAAACTTCTTCATCCTCGCTGCCTTCCACTCCACATGATTCCGCAGCCAATGGTCGCAAATCCTTTGTATTGTCCTTCCATTCTATTAGCTTCATATATTTATATTCCAAACTAAATAATTCGATTATATTTAATTTGCAGCTATTGGGAACTCAGTGTATTCAACAAATAAAAGTGCGCACTAGTCAGCGGGAAGCATTCAGTTTTTATGCCTTTTTGCATATATGCAAATGCGAAAACGCATACTGCGACGACCACGGTGTGTGTGTATGTGTGTGTGAGTGCGTCTTTCCGGGTATTTTAACTCGGCACCCAAGCAAGCTCCGGCGCCAAAATTTTGCGAGGGGATTCCCCGGCCAAGTGCCACCCCAGGACCGCGCTACCAATCCTCACGCACGTCTATGCCCCGCGTACGGGCGGTTCAAAGTTTTGGCAGGAAAATCGCTAAGTTGGGAACCAGAACAGTCAGAAAACTGAAATTTTGGGATTATGTTCCCTGTCCATATACAACTCAAGTATTTTAAATTCAGCCCCTAGGTGTGCGCGTTTCCCGCGTACGGCCCCGTGAAAGTTCCTGGTGAGAAAATCGCTAGCTCGGGGACCAAGAAAGCTTGGGGGCTGAAACTTTCAGCCAATTTTCCTAGGTCATCTACAACTCAAATTTATCAAATTCAGCCCCCCGTTATGCGTGATTGCCACGTACGGCCCCATGAAAATTTCTGGCTGGAATTTAGGTAACTCGAGAATTGAGAAAGCTGGGAATCTGGGATCTAAAGGGAATGTTCCCCGCCCAAGTATAGCGTGGACAATTAACTTCCCGAAATTCGAAGACCAGTATGTACAAGAGGTTTCTAGCTAGCGCAGTTTCGAGCGATCTTATTACAGCACGAAACAATGCAAAAACGCATGATCGCACGGGCCCGCCCAGTGCGCGTCGCCAATG